GGCCCCTGGAGCCCTACCTCCCAGAGCCCGCCAAGCCACCAGCCAAGTACCTGCAGGACCTCGGGCCCGGCCCAGCACTCAACGGCTGCCACTTCTACGAGGGCCCCGCGGAAGGTAACGCGCGGCGCGGGCGCGGGCCCTAGGGCTCAGCCCCGACTCTCTCTATTCCTTCCCGAATTGGGCCGGCCAGGCCTCCCAGCTTCCCTCCCCGGCTGCCTATGTCTCAACTTTTGCCCTTCTCGCTGCGAACCGGTTTCTCGGGCCGGCGCTGGCCCAGGTCGGGCAAAGCCCAGCGCGTTGTGGGAGGCAGAGCCACCCCTACCCCCGGCGGCGGGAATGGGAGGCGGGAGGTCGAGAGCGGACGGGGCACCGACGGCCCGGGGCCAAAGGCAGCCAGAACCGGGAAGGAGAGATCACGTTCGGCCAGAGTTGGGCTGGAACTGCCACCGACCGAACCAGTAGCATAGGACTCGGCCGGAGCGCTGAATTAAGTCCTTGGCCCCGACGCGGGGAGAGAAGCCTGGCTTTTGTGTCTGGCGCCCGTTGGGGGCCCTGAGGCTGGGCCCCGACCCAGAGTGGCCGAGCCGTGCTCAGCCGGGGGCTGCGGCCTGGCCTCGATAGGTTTCTCATCCCCTGACCCAGTCACCGCTGGAAGGGTGCTGGCTTTAGGTACTCGACGGAGTGGCGGCGGCTGAACCGCAGTGCCAGGGCCATTCTCAATTCGAAACAACTGTGTTCTCATTTCTCAGACTAACCTGGCCTTTCCGTCATTATGCACAGTGGTGGCAGCCCTTCTGGCAGTCTTGGCTTCCCTGTACCGGATGGCCACCGCTGGGCCGTCAGGAGCTGCCTCGGGCGGGCCTAGCCCCCGGGCACCTCAAGCTCCTGGGCTGGGGCCCTGAGCACGGAGGCCGGTCAGGTCGCGCCATCCCAAGAACGCGCCTGAGTGACTTGCCCTGGTAGGCTGGTCCGCAACCCTCTGTCGCCCCACGCACACGCTGCCCTGTGGGAGTCTCAGCGCCCGCGACCTCGTCCCATCTGCGCCGCCACATCCCGCAACCTAGGCCCAGAGATGGGTCATCCGAGAACAGCGAAGACCCTGCCTTCGCCCCGCTGGCGCCTCTCGGCCTCCACGAGTGGGCCGGTAGCTCCGGCCTTCGCCCAGCCAGGACAGAGGGAATGTGTGGAGGAGGGCGGGGAGGTGTGTGGGGGTCAGCGGAGGAAATGAGCGAGTCCGCAGAGCTTCGTGCCTGTGCCCTTTGAAAAAGGCTCCCCTGATAAAAACCACAGTTGGGACTTAATGAGAAGCAGTTGGCCTGGCTCCTCTGATCCCAGCCAGACGGCGGCGGCCGCGCAGCGCCGCGAGCACCGCCAGCGACAGGTACCCGGGCTCGTTCGGCGCGCTGTGTCGTGCAGGATACCCCCTCTGGCCTGTGTCTCCGCTAGGCGCCGGATCCCGCACAGATCTCCCGAGCTCCAGGACCCGCCCGGCGCAGGGCGAACTGCGCAGAGCGTCGGGGTGGAACATGCGGCCAGGAGGAACCCACTGACCTCGGCTCCGGCCTCGAGGGTGTTGGCGACAACGAAATGCGGGGAAAGAAAACAAAAAAGTGTGAATAACAACCAAAAAAGGGGGAAAGGAAATCGAACAAAACAGCCGAGAAGAGCGGCGAAAACGAGAGGCAGACGGCGGCCGGTGAGCTGGGCAGACAGAAAGTTATAAATGAAGAACGAAAAAAACAAAGCAAGAGGAAGATCGAACGAAGCGGGTAAATAGAGAAGAAGGGAAAGGATGAAGAGCGAGGGAACAGACAAAACGAACGAAAAAAGAGAACATCCTAAAAGAGCAGAAACATGGCAAAATGAGAACAGGTGGGAGAAGAAAACTAAGGATTCAAGTTGAGCTGGGGACAGGTCAAACGAAAAGGAGGCGCGGCATCTGCGCGCGGAGCCTGGGGTACAGACCCGGCCGCCACTCGCCGGCCGGGGGCCCTGGCCGGAGCTCAGCGCGCGGGCCACCCGCGGCCCTGCGGCGGAGCCGTCTTGAGCGCGGCGCGCGGGCGGCGGAGCTGACTGTTGGGGAGAGACGACCCCAGAGCTCGGGCCGCGCAGACTACTGAGTGGGGAAGTGGCCGGCGAGAGGGAGATCAGCCTTATCTCCCGGTTTTTTAATAACGGGTTCAGAGCGTTTCTAGTTCAGACCACTGAGCGCGCAGCTGCGCTCCAGCTGCGGCGGGATCGTTGCCTCCGCGGGGCAGCTGGGCGCGAGAGTCTGGCGCACCGAGCTTCTCTCCCGCCGGCCGTCCTTGCCGCCTCAGGCCGCCCTCTGCGGAGACGACCAGTCGCGCCCTGAGCCCGGACCGCGTCCCGGCAGTGCCAACCACTCGGTAGCCGTCCGCGCGTGGCTGCTCTGAGGATCGGACACGTACCCGGCGACCCCTTCCAATCTCAAACGGCCACTCAGAGTTTGTCCCTCAGCTTGACTTTCTGGCCTCGGAACGCTCTCCTCCGGGACGTGACTCCCGCTTGAGTTCTGCCCCCGCCACCACCGAGGCCTTGAGCTTGATGGCTGTAAGGACCACGATCAGCGGGCGGATCGCGCACCTCCGAGGAGAGCTGCAAATCGTCGGCCCCCGACTGAGATCTCTAGACCAAGGCTGGGGACACCTAGGGAGAGCGCCACGGCCCCACTGTGGGCCCAACGCACGGCGATTATGTTCACTGCGGCGGCGGGCCTTAGGTCCCTCTGGCCGCGGAGCTCAGGCCGCTGCGAGCTCTGCTCGGCGACGCAGGCTGGCGAAAAGACAGCGCTGTCGCGGAGTAAGGCTCAGCGAAAGCTGAAGACTCAGCGATCGGTTCAGCGGCCTCAGTAGGCGCCCTCCATGGGTGCAGTGGGGAACCCAGTAGGCAGCCCCAAGCTGCGTCACCGATGCCCTTCCAGGCTGCACAGTGACAGGGGGCCAAGCGGGCTGCTGGGGAGGGTCGGCTGACTGCCACTAGTAAGTCTGGACTCTGGGAGCGGGAGGAGGGAAGGATACAGTGAGAGTGGGGTCAGGGATGGGCTCTGGTGCAGCCTTAGAGATCCCTGTTCTCTCCTCCTGGACATACCTGCTGGGTTGTGTGGATGAAGGGTCTCATGGAGTCGTGCTGTTGTGCAGCACAGGAGTTCCAGGCTCCCAACTCCAACATGGGTACTCCTCCTTAAACACCCAGTGTGTGGACCAGGTGCAACAGACTCTTAACACACAGCCTGACAGCTGAGTGGCTTATGGTAAGGAAGGCAAGCCCCAAGGCCCCCAGTTCTGGTCACTGCCTCTGAGCAGTGACCCTGAGGGGCCAGGAGGCAGATGTGCAAGCCATGGGGTCTGGGCTTCGGCGGCTCTCTCAGTGATGTCATTGTTCCCCAAGGCCAGTCCTGACCCCCACTGCCCTGAGTCACTCACCCCACTACTGCCTGGAGTCCAGCTGGGATCCGGGGCTTCCATGTAAACCCGAGACACGCAACTCCTCCCTCTCAGGCCACACATTTTGAGGGTCTGTGAAGTGCCAGGTGCCCCTTTCCAGTCACCCTGGTTTCCCAGACCATTTTCAGTGATGTGGTACAATGTCCCTGAACCCCCTTTCCTAAGCTCCCAAATGGAACTACCCAAGAACCAGCATGAGGTTGCCAGGAATGAAAGTCAGGGCTGAGTATTGTCTCCTTTGTGCTCCACCTGAGTTGTGAAGGAAACCTGGTGCCTGGGCTGTCACTGTGGGCTACCTGTACAGGCTGGGCACAACCCCCAAGGCCAGGCCCGACCTGACTCCCCTGGGCCTGCAGGACACACTGACAATGTGGAGGTGAGCTCATAGCCTGGTGGTGCTGGGAGACTGCTGACCACCTTCCAGTAGGTGATGGGAGGAGAGCCCAACTTGTCCTCCACAGTGCAGAGAGGGACTCATCAGTTCCAAATGCCGAGAAGCTCATCTCGCTCGTCCAGGCTTCCTCTGACTACAGCTGTGATCCACCACTATGTTCCTGGGTAGAAACTGCCTGCCTGTCTGTGCCAGCTTGCTGAGCCTCCTGGGGGCTGGGCCCCTGCTGGGGATGGGACTGGGGCCAGGGAAGGGGCTGTGTGAGTCAGTGGGGTGTCTTTGTGTCGCTCCTGCCATCCCAGTGGACTGCTGAGGACCGACTTCATGGAGACGCTGCTGGGGGTCCTCACCAGAGGAAGAGGGTGGGGTGATCAGGGTGACCTATTTTTCACCATGCCCCAGTCATGGTGGGTCTCCACCAAGCTTCCTGAGTGAGGTTTAGCACGTCAGAGTGGGGCTGCTGGGAACAGTTCCCAGTCTGCAGTCAGGTCACCCCTGCTTGTTAATCACAGTCTATGGGGGCAGTCTGACCTCCTGAGGAGGGAGGGGCAAGACAATGAGAATAATGAGGAAAGGGGGCCTGTGTCCATCGTAACACTGCTCCCCCAACTCTCTTTCTCCTCCCATCACCTACCTACCTCCTGCGTTTCTGATGCTTGAATCCTTGCTGAGATATCACAGTTTTAGGAGTGGTGGAAAGACTATTTCTCTGGAAGCTTCTTTGTCCTATCTTGCCCCTTATACCCCAGGGCTGGGGGATTTGACATTGCCCTGAGATTTAGGGTTCAGAGGAGGAGGCACACGGTCAGACCATCCACAGGTGGTGTGAGCTTCCCTGTCCCTCTGCCTGCCTGATCTTGAGAGCAGAGGCATGGGCATGAGGGCATGGGAACCAAGGCCTGCAGAGTCAGGGACACGGAAGCACTTCCTGGCAGGGGCAGGAGATGTCAACCACCCCATCCTCAATCCCTCCCCCCTCCCCCATCCTCAGCCCTGCCAGGGTGGCGGTCCCTGCCATGGCGCCAATCCTGGCACCTCCACACCCTGTGGGAGGCACCACCACAGAGCTTCCCTGAAATGAACCCTGCCTCCAGCCCTGCAGATCCACCCAGACCACAGAACACATGGTTCCCCAGGGCCCCCTCCCCAGCTGGAGGCTCAGCAGCCAGGCCTCAGAATGCCAGGCTCCCATGGAGGGTGGCTGCCTGGAGGAAGGGAAGGGAAAGGAAGGGGGAGGCGGGGACTGAGGCATCAACGGTCTTCCCCTCCCTCCATTCCACCCACAAACCCCCCTGGTACGGTTCCCATCCTCCTTTTCGTGTTTTCCATTGCAGCTGAGGAGAAGGCCTCCAAAGCCGCCAGCTTCCCCCAGCTGCCCTTGGACTGCCGAGGAGGCCCCAGGGACGGGCCCTCTAACTTGCGAGGCTCCCCGGGTCCCTGCCTGGCCAGCCTTCATGTCCCCTTGTCCCCTGGACTCCCCGGGTCCATGGAGTTGGCCAAGAACAAGAGCAAGAAGCGCCGTAATCGCACGACCTTCAGCACATTCCAGCTGGAGGAGCTGGAGAAGGTCTTCCAGAAAACCCACTACCCTGATGTGTATGCCCGGGAGCAGCTGGCTCTGCGCACAGACCTGACAGAGGCCCGGGTACAGGTGAGGGCACCACAGGCACGGGACTCTCTGGCTACCTGGACCACCCAGACTGTAGGCCAGACCATGGAAGGGCTGGGAGAGGTGGGCTCTAGTGCCTTACAGAGCTGCCTTCCGGGTTACCTCCCATGCCCAGTTCTGCTGCAGCCACAGGCTCTTTCAGCCTAAGGTGAAGTTTATATGGTGGTAGGGGGAAGGGCATGTTAGAGTAATGGCCCCTTGGAATCAAAAGACCTGTGTGACTCCCAGCTCTGCCACTTACTAGCTGAGGTGACTTTGGGCATGTCATTGAATCTCTTAGCTTTAGTTTCCCAGTTTAGGAAAAGGAAATGATAGTACCACATACTTAGGGGGTATCTTGAGCACCACAGATGTGACAGCATTTTGGAAGCAGTGAAGTGCTGAACACATATCAAGGCTGCACCTGAGGTGGCTGCCCACAATGGGAGGCGCCCCACTAGAAGGCCTCAGGATCAGTGACCCTCAAAGTCATCCTGAGCGGGCAACCTTCTGCCAGCCTGTGGCTGGGACTCTTGGAAAGCCTGGCTGGGAGCCCCTCCCTCCCCACCCCAACAACTCTGCTCAACAGAGACCAGGCCCCAGGGCTTCCTGGATGGGACGTCCTCCAACTTCACACAGGGTGGAGCCCAGCCTGTGGGGATGGGTGGGCTGAGGTTGCTGGGAATAGGGGAAAGGAGAAGGAAAGGGAAGTCTATGTCCAAGACATGTTGGAAGTGAAAAAGAGCGTGAAGGTGGCTAGCAGATGGTGGAAATGGGGAGGTGACTTCAGTATAAGTCTGGCCCAAGAGGACGATAACCACAGCCTTGCTTTGATCCATAGCAGGCTCCCTGATGCCAAGCAGGGAACTGGGAGAAGAGTTGGGGCTGGACTTCTAGGTGAGGTGAGGCAGTGACCTTTCAGAGGATTCTGCCTCTCCCACCACCCAGGGAGCTTCCTAGGGACAAAGCTCCTGCTTATCACATCCTGCATGGGGCCCTTCCAGAGACTCTTTTGGAAGATGCTGTGGGGCAGGGCTCTGGTAGAATATGGGGGACTGGCAGGCCCAGTCTATAAATTGGTCAGCTGCCTTCTAGAAAGACAGGCTCTATAGCTAGATCCAATGAGAGGACCACAGGGGCTTGGGCTATTTCTCCTTCTCCACTGGGCCCTCCTGTTGACTTGGTCCCTCCAAGTGACCCCCAAAACAAACTTCCAAGACTGTTCCCTGGAGTTCCCAGGGCCTGAGATCATCAGGGTGAGAGGACCAGCAATTAAGACAACCCCTGAGTACACAAACCATGGAAGTCCAGAACACTGAGTCTCCGAAACGCTTCAGTAGGCCTCTAGGGTGGGGTCTGAATAGCTGTCTCCAATGGAACTGCTTTGAGGATGTGGAAAGCATATTTCCCCACTTCTCTCCTAGGCATTTTCAGCCCTGCAGGGGTGGGGGATGGAGGGGTAACCATGAAGCCCCAGACTTTGTCCAGAATCTTCCCCAATGATTGAGGCCCTAGAGTATGATCCAAATAAGACCGCACACCAGACAATGTAGTGGGCAGGCCCAGAGCCCAGGCGAAGGTCTACAGTGGGGACTCTAGGGGAAAATGCGTAGTGACAGGGCAATCAGTTCCCAGTAAAGTTATCAGATTCACTGGCTCCAGGCTCCTAGTCCCTGCAGGAGAGGGAGAGTGAAGAAAGGAAATCCAGGCAGCTGGGGTGCCCTTTTCCTGACCTTGCCCCAGGCCTGCTCTAGGATCTCTGCAACGTGGGAGTAGGCACAACTTCTTACCTCTCAGGACCTGTCACCCAGGTGCAGGGCCTTACCTGCCAGCATCTACTTAGGAATGACCCAGCTCAGATATATATGGGGGGTAGGGGGGAGGATGGGTAGCCCAGGCAGGAATAACCTAAGCAAATGCAGGGAGGAGTAAGATAGCAGAGTGTTTTGAAGGTGAGCTGGGGTGGGGGCTTGGGAGGCACCTGGGAAGAATTGATATTGTTGTCTGGCAGGAGATGAGGATATAGAGAGGGGCAGGGGCCAGTCCCAAGGGGTCTTGTTAAGGAGATGGGCTCTGGGCTGAGGTCCCCAGGGAGCTACTGAGGGTTTAAGCAGGATGATGATGAGAACAGAAATGTGGTTCAGATTCTTTGGGTGTTGTGAGGTGGGTGGACTGGAAAAGGAGATGAGGCAGGGAGACTAGACAGCCCAACACATGTGCACACGTACGCAACTCCACCGCTGAGGTCCAAGGGACACCCCTAACACCCATACCAGATCAATCCAGGCTAGAGAACCAGAAAGCGTGACTCAGCCCGGTTAATGGTAGCTGGGGACCCATGGGGCCAGTAAACTGCACTGGGCGTAGGCCTCTCTCAGGCCCTATCCCAGCCTCCATGCATCGAGTGCTATGTGGAGTTACAAGCCCCTGCAGCTCAAGATCCCCCAGCCCTCCCAGCTCCCCACCCTACAGGACAACACAACCAAACGTTGACTATGTCCTGAGGTCTCCCTGGCTGGCGGGCTCCACTCCACCGGCTGCTTCACCACCCCCTCAGCCCCTCCCACTCCTGCTCCCAGGTCTGGTTCCAGAATCGCAGGGCCAAGTGGCGGAAGCGCGAGCGTTATGGGAAGATCCAGGAGGGGCGGAACCCCTTCACGGCTGCCTATGACATCTCTGTGCTGCCCCGCACCAACAGCCACCCCCAGGTGAGACCTCACCCTGCCCCACGTCAGGGTCTGGCCATGTCCCAGGGGGTAGCCAGCAAGAGTATGGGCTCTGGAACCCGGGAGACCTGGAGCAGCAGCAGGGCTCTGTGTGACCTTGGGCAACTCATTTAACTTCTTCCTCTGCAAAATGAGGCCATCACCTGTCTCGGGAATGATCCCTACAAAGCATCTGGTATAGCACCTGGCACAATGGAACCACTGAAGAAGATCTCGTTTTGAGAAGCAGTGGTAGTGACCTCCTAAGTGTGGGAGACTAGGAGGGAAGAGATTCAAATCTGGGCCAAGTGGAGGTTTCTTGGGAAGTTTCTGGGGCCCTGGGGCACAGAGGAGCCCTGGTGGCATAGTGGTTAAGAACTCAGCTACTAACCAAAAGGTCTGCAGTTCATATCCACCAGCCACTCCTTGGAAACCCTATGGGGTAGTTCTACTCTGTCCTGTAGGGTCACTATGAGTCAGAATCGACTCGACGGCACCTAACAACAACAAGGGGTACCGAGAGAGCCTCTAGGTAACTGAGGCAGCTGCTGGAGCTGCGGGTTCATGGGTTTTATCCCTCTCTTTTCAGCTGCAGAACTCCCTGTGGCCCAGCCCAGGGTCAGGGAGCCCCGGGGGCCCTTGCCTGGTGTCCCCAGAGGGCATCCCCTCCCCGTGCATGTCTCCATACTCCCACTCTCATGGGAACGTGGCTGGCTTCATGGGGGTGCCAGCCTCCCCCGGAGCCCACCCTGGCATCTACTCCATCCACCGTTTTTCCCCCACCCTGGGGGGCCCCAGCTTTGAGCCCTCCCCCGATGGCAACTACAAGTCTCCAGGCCTCATCTCGCTCAGGGTGAAGCCCAAGGAGCCACCCAGCTTGCTGAACTGGACCACGTGATCGGCCACATGATACGCAGACTGAGCTGCTCACCCCCTTTTCTATTCCCAGCTGCTCCCACCCTGCCCCTGCCTGGACCTTAGAAAGGATACACATCTGCCTCCAAACCCACTTGGCTCCTGGAGGCCTGGGCAGAGCAGCTGGGACCCTCAGCCCCAGGGTTCTTTCTCTTAGAATAAGGCACGACTGCCCAGGGCAAAGCAGGCTTCAAAGCAGGTGCCCAGGCCTCTTCTTACGACAAACTGGGGTCCCTTGCCCAAAATGGCCTGGAGAGAAGAAGACACTGCCCTGCTTCCTCCAGACTTTGTCCAAGTTTGTATCCATCCAGCTGAAGTGGCTTAATTGGCTCCTCATTCGGGGAACCCAGGAGAAAGGAGGAGGGGACCACAGATTGAACTGGGGGGAGCTCCTTGTGAAGTCCAGAAAACCAAAGGGAGAGTCTTGTTTGACCACCTAAGGCTGGGCTCGCCTCCCCTTCCCATCATCAGGGGGTGTGTGCCCAGTGTCCTGGTGCTGACAAAGGCCTAAAAGCAGGAGGTCAGTGTAAAGGGCGTCCCTGTCTCCCCAACTGCAGCCATGCCTGACTCCTGCTCTGTGTCTCCTTCCCAACATGCTATGGAGTCACCTTCCCCTTCCAAGGGGCTGGAAATTCCACCAGAAACCACCAAATTGTGGATTCTCTTCCATGGGATCAAGCCAGAGCTAGACCATGAAACCATAGGTTGCCTTGGTCTCCTTGTTGGATGTTGGTGAGAATAAAACAGATTTCCACAGACTCTGAGCCCCTGAGATCCTAACCCTCACTTTTGTAAAGATACTTTTGTAAAAAATGTGCTGCCTAGCATAACAATAAAGGTGGCGGTACTTTTTATCCCAGGTGACTGTGTGTCATCGGCAGGGCTCAGCCCTTGGCTGCTTTCCGGCTGGTTTGTGCCCAGGATCCGGGCTGGGCCAGGCCCTCCTGATCGGCTGCCAGGCATCCTGAGGCGAGGGGAAGATGGTCATGTGGCAAAGCCCTCAGGGCTGAAGCCTGCCGTGCCTGGCGTGTCACCTGTCCGGGCTCTGTGGCTTTGGCCGGTGCTGGGAGGCAGGGAGAAGGGCAGAGCCCTGGGGCTGGGCACATTTGAAAGGGAAAACTGGGGGAAAGGGGCCGGTGAGAAAGTGGAGATAAGCTTGTGACTGAACTGACAATGGAGGAGAGGTGGAATGGAGGACCAGGCTGCCTACTGAGGGCTCTGAGCTCCTGTGGGCTGGGACCCCAGAGGGGTGAGGGTGAGGCAGCTCCCTTCTCCCAGACGCCCTAGGAGCATGTCTGAGCTGGGGGCAGAGACAAAAGCCAGGACTCTTCCTTGTGGTTTCCAAGCACTGCCTGTTCTATCCTTCATCCCCGCTTTCTGCCTTATCTTCTCAGCCTACAAGGCAGGGAAACAGCGGGTAGGGCCCTCCCACCTCCGGGTAAACACAACCACATTGCTCAGAAGAGCTCAGCCTCAGCTAGCAGCCAACCACCCCCAACCCCACGCCTCATGTTTCAGGCCCAGAGAAACCCACAAAGATATATCAGTGCCATGCCATTCCCAAGAAGGGAGCAAGTCCCCATCAGATCGGATTTCCTGGCCAAGACCATCACTGCCCAAGCATTCAGGCCTGGATTCTTCCCTCTGGTACCTTAGCTCATTCCCCAGAGGAAACCTGTGGCTTCCCTTCCCTTCCCTCAGTCCGAGGGCCTGGCTTCCTGCCATTTCTCCTCTCTGCACTGACATTGGCTCAGAGGTGCAGGTGTGAGCCCTGTGTCCAGCAGGAGGAGGGGACCCCTTGGGAAGGGAAGAGAGAATCAGGGTAGTAGGGGAGGTATCCCCAGCTACCTCTGCTGAACAGACACCCTCACCCAGCTGGTCAGGGATGGAACCAGGGCTAAGACCACTGCACTAGAAGTTTCTTCACCCAGCGAGTGGTCAGCACAGTTTTGGACCTTGTGCCCCATAAGAGTCAGAGAGATTAGTTTGTTCTACAAATATTTACTGAGTGCCTGCTCTGTGCTAGGCATTGTGCTGCGTGCCGGAGACAGAGCAATGGCCAAGAAAACAGCCTAGAAAGATGGAGGGAAGAGGGAAGGATCTGCAAAAGCCTAAGCAGAGAAACAAGAAGTGGGGAAGAGGCAGACAAGAGAAGAAAAGTAAGTGGAGCCAGATCAGTGCAGCAAGAGGCAGAGGTGGCAAAGGACAGGAGAGGGCCCTGTGCAGGAGAGGGGCCCTGTGGTGGGGGAGGGCACAGGGAGGCCAGAGACCAGCTATTGACTCCCATCCAGGGACATCTGCCCACAGCTCATATTTTTTTGTCCAGTGACAGCTAAATGAAGAGAAAGCTAACTTTACAACCACCCACTTCACACGTAATGAATATGAATGGGCATCCCGGAGCCTGCTCCATGGGATTATCTGTGAGCTGGCTGACGGGTCCTCCCTCCGTCTGGGCCATCCCAGCCGGCTTGTCCCCTGGCTGGGGTGCGGGCAGCACTTCCACCTGCTTCCTATTAGCTGTGCTCCCATCCTCCCCCACACTCTGGGCATCTCACCCGAGACACAGCCCCTGGGGTCTCCAGACACCCCTGCCCCAGCCTCACTCAGACCTCAGCCCCATGGTTTCTCCAAGGCAAGCCTGGGACTCTGGCCACCTTTCTGGAAAAGGCAAAAAGGAAGCAGCCCCACCTGGAATCCCAGCCTTAAGATAGTCGCCAGGCTCCATCTCTCTTTGCTGAGGCCCCAGTGAGGCCCACCCAAAGAAAATTCCAGAGCACTCAATCTGGGTCCTGGCAGGGGAATGACGGACACCAGGCTGGGGCGGAGGGCCTTAGCCAGGAGGCCTTTTAGTCCAGGCTTCCCTTCCTCAGTTAGGCAGTGGGAAATGCTTCTCATTAGAAGCATTCACTCTTCCTTCCCCATCTCCCCCCAACCACTTACACATCAACGTGAATTACAGCCCCAAAGTGCAGACCCTCTGCAGCCTCAGACAGAAACAGCCCCGCATTGCCAGGAACTGGGCAGCCCAGAACACTTCCTTTCCACAGCAGCAGAGGGAGCACACACCTCAGCCACCACCTCCCCCACCCCCCCGCAAGGCTCGTCCTCACCATTTCTACCTGGAGGGCAAGGAACACAAACGAGTCCACTCAACAAGAGTCAGCTTTTCCCAGCCCTCTCACCTCCCACAGGATCCTCCTATAGGAAGGCACAGGCTAGACCAACAAGTCTTTGTAGGCCCCTGCACTCTGTCTCAGTTATCTACCACATTTTTGCTTTCTTGCTTTTATGGCCGTCTTGCCATTGACTGAGAGCTAGGTGAGGAAAGGGAGGGACTGTGTACTATTCATCTGGGTACCTGGGCACCTGGCACAGGGCCTTCAGGGCATGACGGCAGGTTGCTAGATGAATGGCCGGCTCCTCTCAGAGGCCTCCATATTCAGAGCAGTGAGCTAGGCATAGGGGATAGAGGGGGCCTAAGACATGGTTCTGATCTGGGTGGAGGGTGGGGTGGGGTCGTCTGTTTGAGGGGACACAGGAAATGGATGCAAATTCATAGTGGGTCAAGAGTATGAAGGGCCATTAATGCTAACAATAGCTGCCAGGTCTATAGGTCTATTATCCATTATCCTATTCAGCTCTCACAATCACCTTGCTATCATTCAACCGATTTTTACAGATGAGTCAACTGAAGCTTAGAGTTTGATTAGCTCAAGTCACTCGGAGAGTAAATGTCACAGCCTGGGCTGGAAGTCAGGTCTGTCTCACTCCCAAAGATGCAGCCCCCTTGTTTTAGAGGCAGCAGCCTGAGGCCTACTGTGCCAAGTGCCAAATGAAAAGCAACAGCTACTGCTTCTCTGAGCAGCCAGCTCATTAGAGGACAGACACGAAGCCAGTCTCCTGGGAGATAAGGTTAACAGGTCTGGCAGGGGAAGCCACTCTGGAACCCAGGAGAGAAAGAAATCCAGGCTCAGGCTGAAAAAGAAAAAAAGGTAACAACTGCCCTCAAGTTAGGGGGCACATTCAGGGGACATCAGAGGCTAGGCCAAGGCCAAGCTTGGGTGGACCAGTTAGGGCCTAAGCAACTGACATTTGCCAAGAATCTTCTGTACCAGGGACCAAACTGGAGCAAATAGTAAGTACTGGATAAGGGGACTAAATGGGCAAACGAATACACTGGTGTAAATGCTGGGGGACAACAATGATTAACAGGGAAGTGTGGAGTGGAAAGAACCACACTTTCCAAACAGAGACCTGGGTTTCAATCCTGGCTTCCCCTGTCATTACTGTGTGACCTTGACAAGTTCTTTACCCTTTCTATGCCACGATTTTCTCATCAGCAAAATGGGGAGAGTAATGGTACCTACCCTTCAGGGTTATTATAAGGAAAAAGATATTATACATAAAGTGCTCAGAATGGTAGCTAGCACATAGTAAGTGATCAGTATTTACTGTGTGGAAAATGATCTTTCAAGAAGCATCTAGTATTGTGCCTGGTACCTATTTGGCACTCATTAAGTGGTAACTCTGATTAACTATGGTTAACAAGGGACAGATCCCATCCTCAGGGTCATCCATCCATCAGTGGAGAAAAGGATCCCTGGCCCTGAGACTGGTTAGCAATAATCAACATTTACAAAGGGCCTTCACGTACCTGCCCGTGACTCAAGATGTAAAGCCACAGAGACTGGGGGGCCATTTGCTCTGTACAAAGAGCTGGTTCAAACAGCCAACAGCTAACCTGCCACCAACAAACCTTGTGGCTGTGATCAGGCCCTTCCCTCCCCAGGCCAGCTCCTGGGCCTAATGAAGGGTTCACCTGCCCAGGCTTTAAGGTCCTTGCAGCTTCGATATGCTGTGCTCTCTTTTACAGGTCAGAGGAGAGGCTGGGGAAATGAAATATAGGGAAGGAGGGCACAACCTCAGGCCAGGCAGGTTCAGAAACCCAAGCTGCATGGTAGAGTAAGAATGTGAAAATCCATCTTACCCAAACTGAAATCCCAAGGCTACATCCTTCCTATTCCTATCAGTCCTGGCAAGACACGGCAGAAATCCATCATGCACACAAATCGTGTTAAAGTCCCTTGTTCTGTGCAAGTTACTTTGGAGGCACAGGGCCAATTGGTCATGGGGACTTCACGTGGCACAGGGCAGTACTGTAAGTGGTATACTGCTGGCTTCCACCCTTGCTACTCCTAACTGTGCTGGAACATCAAGGCCTGTCCTGGAAGCCCAGCTGGGGTCTGGACTGAGGCTCAGCAGGACCCAGGCCAGGCCAGCACTGAGTGGAACAACCAACAAAGGGGGGGATTCTCCCCAGAATACATTTCCTTTATAAATCAAGACCTCTTGGACGTTAAGGACCCCACAGCTATGACTTACAAGTAAGAGAAGGGACCTTCAAGCAATCTGAAAAGGGCACCCTCCTTTTACCAGCATCAGAATGGTGGAATTCTCTGAGGCGGCATCCCAAGACAGAGCCAGGCAGAGGGAGAAGTGACCTGGAATCTGAAGCTGAGTCTAGACTCCCAGGAGGCCTCAAACCAGCACCGACCACAGGTTTTCCTTGCTTCTCCAAGGGGGCCCCTAGACCACTCAACATTCTCTTTCCCACAGTGGAGCTAACTCTTGATGGTCTAGTACTGCCCCAGGCTCTGAGCACAGGAGTTTCCACTCAGTCCCAACCACCTGGCTCTGTGAGACCATAGAGCAGTTGAAACTTGTTTGGCTGAGGTCAGCTTAGGGATGCAACCCAGAGAAACCTAGGCTCCTACTGCAATTACATCAAACCCAGGGGCTGAGGGACAACTTGTCACTCCAGCAGCCCAGGGCCCTGAGGGTGGGCTGGAGAGATCTCAGATTGATATGGAGAAAGAACACTTTAAGTACCCTGTACCTGTTATCCAGCCAATTCCCTTCCCTTCCCTTCCCCCTTAAATAGGAAAGGCAGGCAGCCTTGGAGGGGCAATTGGTGACGTACCAATGCTGGCAGGAAAACTGCCTTTCTAGACCTGGAGGAGATATTTGGGCATCATATTTCCTTCAGACAAGGCAATGGGGATTGTTTTTACTTCCTTTTAATGTAAATAGAATACATAAACACATTAAAAACCCCAACATAACACAAGAGAATACACACAGATTTATGTATATTTACAGGCCCTTAGCAAACCAAGAAAAAAAATGGCACCTCTGGTTAAAGGAAACTTCTTTTCCTACCCCCACTCTGTCCAAACCAAAGTGCTGAGGCAGCTGTGGGGGCCTCTGCAATTGCTTCTGGATGCAACTTACCGCCAGAGCAAAACCAGGATGCTAACTTTCTGGCCCTGGCCCTAACTCCTCCTCCTTGAATAGCTGACATGCAAGGATCTGTATGCCTCCAGAGTCAGCTTGTAACCCCTAAAATTCAGATGCAGGGAGAACCCAGCTCACCCTGGTTTTACCAAGCCTTGGGCTGATTGAGAAATGGGCTGCAACTAACCATATCCAACAGAGCAGGGGGAATGAAGGAAGAGGATTCCAAGTAGAGAGATGACTGCTCCTGAGCAGGACGCTAGGCTGGGAATCAAGGAGAGGCCAAACCTGGACTCATCCACAAGCCCAGTGTTGGCTCCGGAGGGCAGAGTGGGGCTGTGCTGCCACCTGGAGGGGGACGGGAGCACTGCAGCAATGAACTGGACCATCCTCCGTGGGCAGCCTGGAATCACTCCTTCCCTTCTCAGTCCCCAGGCCAGGAGCCTCACTGCAGCAGCTCTTCCCAGGAAATGGGTTTGGAGAAAACCTCCCTTTCTAACCAGAGGTCATAGTTCATCTGGAAGTCCTCGGGGAGGTCCACCCGCTGGCCCAGGACACTCTGCAGGCAGTTGTCCACTGGTAGAAAGTCAGGGTTGCTGTGGGCCCGGTCATAGCGTCGGGCATTGAAGCGTTCAATGTTGGCCCGGAGGGCACACTCCTCTGCCTGGAAGTCCCAAGGCCGGGCATCAAGATCTGGGGCAAATCAGGAAGACATAGTCAGGAGCCAGGCCGTGGTGGCAGCTCCCTGTGGATTCACTATAGAAGTTCAGGGGCCAGTTGGCCAGGGCTTGAACGCTGCCAGCAGGACCCGGACTCCTCCAAGACCCACCCACTGCTCAAAGGTTAGAGGGAACAGTACACACAGAGGCCCACAGTGGGAAACAACACGGTGAACATCAGGGATGGAGTGCTCTCGTGTGCCTGGAGGCTGGGCTGAGGGCAGGTAATGAGGCCAGTCAGATTACAGATGGGTGGTCTCACATACCTCACTTAAGAGTTTGGCTCTAATTCTAAGGGACAGAGGAAGCTAATGAAGGATTTTACTCAGGGAGGCAACACCACAGGGTTTGCATTTTGAAAAGATCACCAGGGCAAAGCTGGAGGCACTAATGGAGGGGAATACACTGGAGGCAGGGAAGCCAAGCAGGAATTGCAAGAGTTAGTTAAGGCAGCTGCAGTGGGGACGGAAAAGGGGACAGAGTCTTGTGACAATTTCTAAAATAGGAATGACCTGGAGGGGAGGGACAGTGAAGAATGGGGGATGACCACAGGGGCCAAGCCTAGGTAACTTCTCAAAGTCCTTCCCAGAACTCTCATCCTGAGGCTACAAAAGCAGGAGCTGGATTCTCACCTGTTTCTCAGTGGGAAGCTCAGGGCAGAGGCGCCTGAGGTATTGGGCAGGGAGTGAAGGAGTAAAGGTCCCCTCTCCCCTGCACACCTCCCACCTCGCTCTGAGCCATAGCCTCACCATTGCCATACGCCCAGTCGTCGTTCAGCCGATGCCGCACCTTCTGGTAGATGGCTGACATTGTCTTCATATTGCTCTTCCGCCACTGCCGCCCCAGGTATTTGGTCTGCACTTTGAGCAGCTTCAGTACGTACAGCTGCATCATAGCTTGTTTCACCTTCAGGGCCCGCTTCAGGATGGGGGCTGATTTGAACACCACCAGCATCTGTGAAGGGGCACAAGGGAGCAGCCCACGTTGAGGGCAGAGATAAACGCGTGTATCACCACAATGCTGCTCAGTCTTCTTTGGGTTACGGGCAGGGTGACCACTGTCTCAGTTTTCCCCAGGCTGAAGGGTTTCCTGGGATGTGGGACTTTCAGTGCTACAAGCAGGAGAGTCCCAGGCAAACTGCGATGGCTGGTCACCCTAATTGTGGATCTGAAGAAAGCTATGAATTCCTTCACCAGAAACATTCTTGTGTGCATACACATAATTCCAGAGGGTTCATGGGCCTCCCCACCCCAAAGGCATCCAAAGACCCAAGTTAAGAGATCCCGGAGGCCTGATTATGTTATCAATTGGGACTAAAAGGACATAGAAATATCTCTTCTGTAAATATGGATTTGTTTCAGTGCACAGCTGAGCCTCGCCCAGCCTGTGGTTCAACTCACCAAGGAATCGGCCCTTAGAAAGCAAGGATGTGGCTACAGGAAACGTAAGTGAGAAGGATACAGCTGCAGTAGCAAGCTCCACCCGGAGGACTGCCTGCTCACTGCATGAAGGGGTGAAGAGAAGGTACAGGGGTGTGCCTTTCTTCTCTGAGCTCCAAGTTCATGCCTGCTGACTGTGCAGACTCACCATTGTCCTTGAATGCTTCCATTTTGTCAGCTTGTTCAAGATTCGAAGCAGATTGATACAAGAAAAGAGGTTCCTCCAGCAAAACTGGTTATTGTCACCTGCTTCCTGTAGGGTAAACCCAGGAACAATCACAACCCCCAGAACTGCACCAAAAAACCCACTGACGTCGAGTCAATTCCGACTCATAACAACCCTACAGAACAGAGTAGAACTGCCCCATAGGGTTTCCACGGAGTAGCTGGTGGATTCTTAACCACTGAGCCACTACGGCTCCCAAAGGGCCCCCACATACTTGATTCCAGAACAACCAGGTCCCCATGCCTCAACCAGAAGACGCAAGGAGGTGGAGAGGAAACTTCCAACCCCTCTCTGTACCCAGGGGGAGACTCTACCCTAGAAGTTGGCATGCGGGGAGGGGACTCCCTAGCAGGAAACCTAGACTGTGATATCGTGAGCTATAGCCTCAGCCCTCCACAGCCTGGGGAACCCAGGCTGCCTCAGAGATGTGGCCCCATAGGAGTCCAGCATGAGGAGATGTGAAGCAACTCCACTGGATAGTTCTAAGCCAGCAGCCCCTCAAGACCAAACTCCCTGACTGACTAATCCCTGTACGCAAACCTTTCAGCTCTGCCAGCCCCATCCCCCAGCCGCCGCCCTTCTATGCAGCTGTAGTTGTCTAAAAGTCAGGCACTCCACAGTGTGCACCCGTGGAGGACACCTCTATGCCTGTGTTGGGGGAGGCAGGCTCTCCACCTGCTGACCCTCATGCCAAAGGGACAGCTGGTGAGAGCCCAGCCACTCACCAGGCTCTCCGCAGTCAGCTCTGGCAGCTCATGCACCACACAGTGAGGATAATCCAAGACAGAAATGCTGCAGGGGACAAGAGGATCCGGTGCCGCCATGAGCACAGCCCTCGGTCTGGCTCCTGGCTCTCCTCCTTCACTTGTTGTAGCAGAAGTAGGAGTCTACCTTGTCTGCACCCTCTCGCCCCTGACCCAGGTATAAGATGAGGAAAATCTAATACAAGGAAACCTGTCAGGTCCCTCTGTGGCTAGAGGTCAGCTTGAAATCCTTTAAGGGGTGGGGACCCTACAGCAGCTTTCCCCACAGCCATGAATCTGGGGTTAGGGAGAATTCTAAGTAAAATTCTTACCCTAGGCAGCGACTGCTGACAGCCCACCAGGTGGTGCATCACACTGATGGGCGGGGGAGGAGGGGTCAGAGTCAGCCAACTGAGCCTTACGGTGCATGTTGCCGAGCTACTTGGAGAGCAGGCCCAGCGGGTCTCAGAAAAAAACATGCAAAAGGGCAGCGAGGGCAGTGCTGGAGCCCAGAAGCAGAACCCTCCTGCCCAGGCACTGACTGGGTCACCTGTTACTGCACTAGCGAGGCTCAGGCAGGGACCTTGTGTCACTCATCTTTGTGTCCTGATGCCTAGAAGCACGCTGGCTTGTGGGTGCTGGATGGGCTCAGTGGGCGAGGCAAGCTGGGAGCCCCGCTGTGCGGCCCCACCCAGCCCTTCCTGGTCCCTGGTACCTTATTACCTGTTCTTGGCGGTGATGTAGGACATGATGTTTTGATTGAAGAACTTAAGGATCAAAGGGATGCAGTTGGCAAACACCAGGTGCTGGGCCATGTACTCAAACTGAAACCAAGAGAAAAAATAAGTGTGATCCCTGGGACTTCACCATTTTCCTCCAGTGATAAAGGCCCTGGTTGGAGGACCATGTCTCAGAGCATTCATGCACAGTCCAGGGAGGATCTGAAGGCCAAGGCCCCCGTCCTCCGGGCTGGAGGAGCAGCGCTGCCTGTGGCCACTGGCTGTGGCCTAGCAGACAGGAAGGTACCTGGTAGATGTGGTTCAACTTAAAGTGCTTGAGCAGCAGCAGCAGGACAGCAGAAATGGCCTTAACAATGACCTCTTTGTGGCGGTTCACGTCCACCCCCAGCTTCATGCTCTGCAACACTGTTGTGCTGGAAACACAATTTCTGGGGTGAGCCGCCAGCACATTCAGCACCTCCTTTCTAGGTGCACACAAGGAGAGGAATTCCTGACACTTCTCAGGTCAAAGGCTCCTGCCTCACCACCCATCCCGTGGACATCTCAGAAGTCAGGAGCTGGGCTCTACGCTCCCTAGAGCAGATTAGCTTAGCCAATTTATTTCTTCCCCTTGATGCCCAGTCACACTCCCTGCTTTTCCTCAAAATGAACTTCTCCTTTTCAAGATCTCTCCTAAGATTCTGCCACCATATGAACTTAAGTTCCCCAGAGCATGTTCTGTGAATATTGGTACATTGAGATGTTTCATGTTATGGGAAAAAAGGGGGCTTTATAGTCAGATAAAACTTAGGAAGCACTGAGTTAAATAAAGTTAAACAAGTATCTTAATTCAGGACTTCTCACTGTAAGTCTGAAGTAAAACATTTGACTCTGGGACCCTTTTTACAAGGAATACCCTGATGGCCTAGTGCTCTATGAAGCTCCCTTTGGCATTAGCCAAACCTGGTCTCTTCCCTCCCCACGCGCTCACTGCCAGACTCAAGGTCCAGCCCAAGGGCAGTGCAGAGCCCTGCTCGCTGGCAAGACTCCACCAGGGAGTCTGGCTCTGAGCCGGGCTGCTACTGGCAGGCAGGCAGGAGATCAGGTCAAGGCCTGGATCCTTCTCAAAGGAGAACATGATCTCAGTTTACACTCTCACATCAAAGAGCTGAAGTCAGTGCCCCAGGGATGAACAGTCCCTGAGGATTTCACTCGAGCACCCTGAGACATTCACAAGTATTCACAAGTTGTCAGTTCACTGAGGAACAGGAAAGAATCCATACTCAGCTCAGGTTCACCTGTTGGCTGGCATATTACTAGAAGTTAACCCTACACATCCTGGATGTATCAACTTCACAGCTTTAGAGAGTGGGCTTTGGGCTTTGGAAAGTGTCCAGTGTGGCCTCATCCCATTTACAGAAGAGGAAATGCCTTTCTCCAATTCGCTCAGGAGCTCACTCAGTGGCAGAGACTACACTAGAGTCTAGGCTAATTGGACTCAGCCATCTCCCAACCAGAATTTTTCAATCCAGTATACTTTCCTTTTTCTGAACCAGGAATACTCTAAACTCAACCTGCAGAGAAGTTAGGTCAAAAAAAAAAAAAAAGAAATCAAATCTAGCAAAACGGGACCAAAAAGAAAACATTTCCCACTTCCCTGTTGCCCCAACCAGCCCCATTCACAAGAAAGACACTCACGGCATCTCCTCAGGCAGGACATCTGCTAAGATATTGATTGAGTCCGTTTTGGCCTTGGAGGTGGGAGCAGCAGCCAGCAGGATCTTCAGCAGGGCAATCTGGGGAACAGCAGACATTCAGACAGTGTGCAAGGAGCCCAGGACCAGAACTAAGCCCTGAGAGGTGGTCCTACTGTAGGTCCTCAAGTGGCAAAAGGAGGGGTCAAAGGAGACCAGGGGGGCATACCCTCCAGGCCAAGGCAGCAGGGAGGGTGATCCTATTGCAGGTATTGACTAATGGCCATCGAGAGAGCCCCAGACACAGAGCACCCCCGAGGAGGAAGCAACAACACTCACCATATACTGAGGCAGGCTGGGGAGCAAGCCTTGGTAGAGGGTTTCTGCAGGAACTTGCTCGACTTCCTCTTCTCCCTTTTAACACCACAGGTACAAATGCAAAACTCCAGCCCTGACTACAATCTCCTATGCCAGCTTTCTAGCAGGCTGTTAGCAGGAGATTCTATAAGTACCAATGTAAATCATGACGCTGATGATAATGATAACAAACCTGAGCACATACAATGTGCCAGGCGCTGTTCTAAGCATTTTACTTGTAATAACTCAGTTACTCCTTACTACAACACTATGAAGAAACTACTCTTATTCCCATTTTACAGATGAGGAAACTAAAGCACAAAGAGAGTCAGTAACTTGCCTATGTCGCTGGCCCTCTAAAGGGTGAAGCCAGGAACTCAAAGGCAGGTGAACAGCTCAGAGTCTGTGCTCTTAACCCCTGCAGTATACACATGCTGCCCCCTGCTATGAAAACTAGACTAGGAATGTCCTGAGGGCAGGGCCTAGGGCAGCTTTGTGGCTTGGGCCCGGAACAATGTCTGAGAACAGCTGGGGATCCTACAGGCTACAGAAGACTACTACTCACCCCTGAGAGAGGAGAGCGAAGGTACTCCTCCTCCATCTGTGCCTGGACCTCTGCAATCGATGTGTACTTGTGCTGCAGAGAGAGCAGGGAAAGCAGGCATTGGAGAGGACACCCCTCCTTCTCTGGCCAAATTCCCTGCACCCTGGTAAAGACCCCAGACTTTGTTCTTCAAACACAGTCTTCTGAAAGAGAGCTAAGTCGCCACAAAGGTCTTTAACTAAAATCCTAAACCCAAAAGACCTTTCTAACCGGGTACTTCTCAATTCGCCCCTCTTACAACCAGTGTAAACAGTCCACAGTAGATTAGAAAAAGCAAATTAAAGGATGGGAAGGGGCTTTCAGATAGACACAGTGAGAGGAAAAAACTATTAAAAGTGAAATCAAGAACTCAAAAGAATCTATCTGAATAGGGACCACTTAGTACTGTAAAATTTAAAAATATATTTAAAAAACATAAACATTCATACTCTGGATGTGTTGTTAGGGGAGACACCTATTCCCCACTCCTGATGTTTCCTTCCACGCAGAGGGACATGCAATTTGCAAAACACTCCTGGTCTCTCTCTGACCCTTCCCACACACTCACTCCTCCCCTCTCTGAACAGTGAGTAAGGGAGGAATGGCCCAACCAGTTTCCCTTTTCTTGCTGGAATCTGCCTGCCTGCTGACAGCCTGTGCTCTTTTCTACTCCAGCTGCTGATCTTCTGCTCCTTGATCAGGCTTAGCAAGGTTCCAGCACAGCCAGGGTCTGGGGAGGTGAGCCCGCCTAATTCTGGACATACAGTACTACAACAGCTGTTGCTGCTGTGTTCCTAAGCCTCGTTCTCCAATAGCTCTATCAGCAATAAATCTGGCATTTTCATCTCCATTTATCTACTCCTCTATCTCAACTGCCTTAGAACATGGGCAAGGAAGGAAAAGGGAGGACTATTTACTGGGTCCCTTAAAACTCCAACAACTGTCAGGTAATATTATCCTTAATGAATCCCCAGTCAGTCCCAACTAAAAGTTCAGCCAAAGCAAGTAAAGCTGATGAAGAACTGTTTTAAAGGCTATTTCAGCAGTCCATCCATTCGTCCAGCCCAGGCTCTTTCAGGCAGACTCCCAGTTCAGGCTTCTCCCAAGGGGCTGGTCTCACTTCACTCGCTTGGGACCAAACTAGGCCAAAAGCTCACCCAAAGCCACTCACCTGTTTCAGAGTCTTGATGCTTTCGTGGATTGGCCTGGGCAGCCCCACCACTGTGTTCGTGTCACTGGAGAATGAAGGAGGCCTTGTATTATGCCTAGACATCAATTCACCTGGGTCCCCACACACCAAAGGCCAGTAGAGTGAGCCTCCCGTGGCCGTTCTTCAAGAGGAGCTCGGATCACACTCACCTGCCAAGGGTGTAACCTATGAACTTGCTGCGGCTGGACTCGAGGAACATCTCAATGTCTTTTTCTCTGCCAAAGAAAGAAGACAGAAAGGTTTCTGTTAAACATTATTTCAAGGTAACAGGGTTAAGAGACACATAAAACTTGCAGAAACTATAAAGCCAGGAGCAGAAAAAGTATCCCACAATCGTTTTTCTTTTTGGGGAAAAAAATTAAAATAGGAAAAACTGAAACCTTCACTATTTTAATGTTCTTTATAATTTTCTTGGATTAATAACCTGAAAATATATTATGTTTAACTAGTTTATTCACAAAATTAAACCAACACATCAAACTTAAAAGCATAGTTTACTCAGAATTTCTTAAATGTTTAAAATTTTTATAACAACTGGAGCTATAAACGGTTCACATTTTCCTGTTTCAAACAGACACATCTATGTGTTTTCTGATGACCTGTTTGCACCCTCTTCACAGACTGAGGCTTCAACCGATGGAGAAATGACTTCTATTTCCTTTCACATTTTACCTACTTCTTAAGATGAGGTACTTTCAAACGGACACTACTCATGTATTTCCAGATATCTTTCCATCCATCTACTCCCCACACTGATCTCGAATATCTTATTGTTCTAAAGCAACTCTTGCTTAATCTATCACTGTTCAGTTAAAAACCACATATAACCCTGAGGGAGGCTGATTTCTTTAAATATCCCTAATTTTATTTTTTCCTAACCCCTTTCACTAGGATCCTGTCTAACTAACAGCTCGTTCTAATTACTGACTCAAGAACCAGACACGGGTCCTATTGTGCAAGGCCAGGTGCTACTGTGCAGGTGGGCCAGCACAGGGTACTTTAAGAGCCTCATCTGGGAGCCAAAGTCAGCCCGGTCCTGCAGAACACCTCAAGTGGTGACTCAAGCCACACTGGGCCTGGAGATGTGAGGGCTCTGGCTTCAGGAGCAAAGAGTGTTCCAGAGGTCTGAGACCCACCTGACCTTGGGAGCCCATGGAAGCCCCTTGGGGCAGTTAAGTCGGTCGGTCTGGGGGTGCTGTAGTGGGGGCGGCATCACCTCATCCCGCTCAAGGGGGAATGTCTCCCCCTCCAGACTGTTGTCATCATCGTTCTCCTCCTCGTCCTCTCGAGAGTCATCAGCCTTGTACGGGTCCCGCTCATTGAAGGCATCCAAGTTGTCCTGCTTTATCAGAGCCTGAAAACAGAGGAAAGGTAGATTCAATAGCAAGGGCCAACTGAGAAAATGGGAAAGGGAAATGAGGCGAGACTAGATGTAACATAGAAAGGTAGAGAGCTAAGGGCAGTGGAAGATCAGAGAGGGAGTCAAGGTAGGGACCAAATGACAAATGATTTCTTGTCCCAGGCCCTCAAAAGTCCTGAGTATTCACTATAAACCAGACTCTGGCTAATCACTAAGTGCCCCTGCCCTGGAAACATGCATCCCAACTAGCTGATTGGAGAGGACTTCCCACAATCCCACCCCTCCAGGGATCATGCTCCTGCATCTGTGCACCTTGATAACCCTCAGGAGTCACAGGGACCTGTCATCTCACCTTGTGCTCCCGGCGGCCCCTTTTCTGCTGCTGCTCAATCAAGTCCGAGGCAGACGCTGGAGGTGAGGCAGCCCTCATGTTGCGGATCACTTTGATGCTGTCTTCAGGCAGTGGGGGGAGGCCCAGGATGGTGCGTTTCTCAGCCTTCATGGTCTGCAGCTCCTCAAAGCCACCCAGCGTGCACTGCATCATAGGCAGGGACACAGCCAGGGTGAGCACGTCCATAAGATGAACACCATATCTGGCTCCCTGATCACTTTGTCAGGCTCATGACACCATGACCCCCATCTTTACAGAGGCCCACACAACCTCTGACCAAGGGACTAAATCTACCCCAAAGAAGAATTCAGTGACATCCGCAAGGAAGAGTAGAAAAAGGAACAAGGAAGGAGGAGAAACGCAGGCTGACTTAGCCTAGTGCGCAGGTATGTTTAACTCCGTATGTATGACATCCTCTTTAATTAAAAAAAAAAAGACAGACTGACTAGCCCAACTCTTCAAATTCCTAATAAAGTCAGTGAGACTCATACATTTCAAAAGTCATACATGCCAGTCTTTCAAAGTCAAACTGGAAATATACTGTTGAATGCGCAAATTGAAAAAAAGAAAGCTTCATCTAAATACCTCCCTAGAAGTTAGAACTTTAGTACTGTACGGTAAGTTGTGGCTGCTTGGTTTCACTCTTTCTGAACAATTCAGCTTTCCTCTCTGGCTTTAGTGAGGCTTTGTGAGGAACCAACAGGATGTATGGCCAAGATAAAATACAAAGACGACTTTGAAGAGGCCTCTAAACTCGTTGAGCCCGTAGCTCCACAGAGTTAGCCCATCCTGACAGGAGAGGGGCGGTGAGCCCCAGTGATAGTAGCAACCCAAGCTCCAGCTTCGCCTTCTTCCCAGGCCGCTCCTCCTGGTGGGAGGGACTCCTGGCTTGGCTTGGGCCAGGGTGCTAACAGTGGCCTCCTAGCCAAGATCTCCAAGCCAAGCGTGCCACGGGCCCACTCCCCTGGCACCCAATACCTTCCTAGCTAGACACAGAGTCAGGTTTCCTGCCATCTCCTGAGGAAAGTGATGGCTAACTCAGGGCTCACTGTTGCTTCCTTCATCTGACTGAGGGGCCCCAATTATACCAGCTCTAATTTCAACCAATTTTGTCTCAAATCACTTTACAAACTCCAGGTTCAGGAGCCACTTCCTGAGAGCAGACTTGCCTGGGGAGAAGCTGTTCTGTGACTGGAGAAAATAGCTTCCAGGAGTCAGGGAGCCGACAACCTATTCTGACTCAAAGACCAAGTTCTCTTTGACCTCAGTGGCACTTCTTTTGTGAAGTGCCACACAAAAGGAAGTTCAGGAAGGTTCTTTTCTAATTTCTTTTCTTTCGTTTACCAAAGTGGTTATACATAATTCAACATTCAAGAGGTCCCCTAGTCACAGAACTTCTGTTAAGAGTGATGAAAAAAATCTGGAAGCAGATAAGGGTGATGGTTGGACAACATGATGAACATAATTAATGTCACTAAACTGTACATGTAAACACATAAAGATTGCTGAATGGCAAATGTTTTGTTACATATATATTTACCACAATTCCCCCCCCAAAAAAAGGTCCCTAGCACCCAAGTTTCCCTCCAAGAAGGTGCTCACCAATACTGTCTTCCAGAGCAGCAAGAGAACTTTCTTCATGGGGAAGTGAGGAGCATGGCCGCTGCAAAATTTGGTGACCATCCCAAACAGCATTATGGCAAATGGCTCGTTGTTGTACAGTGGGGAACCTAGAGGCAACATAAAGGGATGAGGACGACAGGCAGGAAGAGGACACTCCCCAAGCCCCTGGCTGCCCTCAGGCAGCAACTCTACACAGGATCCCCAGGTCCTACCCAGCTCAGCCCTGAAGGTCTGCCGCATCGTCCTCCACTCGGCCTTATCACTCTCACACTCCTGGTGAACAGTCTCCACAGTCAGGTACATGATGTTGAGCAGGACCCTGAGGACAAGAGCTAGCTCACAACGGAGCAAGATGCGGGATCAAAGGAGTGCCCCTGGGTTCCTCACATTCCAGCTGACAGGGGGCCAGGGGGAAGGCTTTAGTGTAAAGAAAACTGAGAAAAGGAAGACCAGAAACCGAGTGTCTCACAGATCAAAGGAATGTTTGTCTTTCCCTCTAGGTGCTTCCTTTGGTTTCATCTTACTATGGCTGGGATTGGATCTTACTGTTTTGTGTATCCAGTGCTTACCAAGGTGCTCACAAAAGGAGGTGCTTAATCAATGGCTGCTAAGTGAATTAATATAAATAAGAATGGCCAAAAGCACTTACCGCCCTAAATTCCCTGGGATGAAAAAAGACACAGAGATGGGAGTGAGCACTGGAACTGGGTGTCAGGTCAGTCAAAGCAGACCAGGGTCAAAGTACAAACAGTGAAAGAGGACAGGGATAGAGTTCATCATGATGGAGCGGAAATCAGGAGTGGGTGACACCCAGGGACCCTAACTACAGTGGGGAGCATCACAAACCCAGAGTTTGAAAAGCTTCCAAATTCATAAAAGGAGATAGATTTTAGCCCTCACGAAAATGAAAAGATGATATTGTTGTTCAGCAGTTGCCATTACTTCCTGAGTAGCCACAAAATATTATGTAGTAGTTAGGACTAATCCAATGTAGATGGGGATCACGTTGTGCCATGAAAAGGTGGGAGCCCACAGAACCATAGTGTGTCCCTCCCAAATATCACACAACCCGATTCTCAGCAGCACTGTAAGCAAAAGGCTCAAATCTCACTGGGGTTCTATTAAGTGGGTTGACCCTGGATGTTTTCCTTTGGGAGTCTCAACCCAGTGTCCTACCTACGTTGAGCCCTCAGCAGGGCCTACTCATCACTCACCCCGAGCCCACCAGAGCTGCAGATTAGTATGTCCAACAGAAATGTACAGGGAGGAGACCCAAAGCCACCCTTCCACTCCCTGCTCCGGTTCTCCAACATTGGCTCAAGCTTCCAGAGGCCCAAGCTTGCTGCTTGCCTCACCTCAGGTCTGTGCTGTCAGCCAGGGAGATAGCAGGCTTCCTCACCGCACTGCTGCAGGCGGCACTGTTGCTGCGGGAAGGATTCAAGAGTCAGCGCCTTCTCCCAGGAAGGAAGATAAGTGATTCACCTGACAAGTGCTGTCCCGTGGAGGAACAAAACACTATGATACATGTTAGACTGCATGCAAGGCTACAGGACACAGTGGTTAAGAACTCAGGCCCTGGACTGGACTGCCAAGGTTTGAACCCTGACTTTGATATTTACTAGCTTATACCCTTGGGCAAGATACTTAACTTCTCTCGGTCTCAGTTTCCGCATCTGCAAAATGGGGATGATAATAACACCTACATCATTAACATGGATTAGTACATGTAATGCCCTTACAACAATGCCTGGGATATGGTAAGGACTTAGTGGATGTTCTCAGCTATTATTATGACTGCTGCTACCCTCAGATGAGCAGCAGCTGACCTGTCCATCAGACAAAGGACCAGTGGTAACACGAGGCTAGAGCATGCTTTGGTTAAGCCCATGTGTCAGACATGGGCCTGACCTCATGCTGAGGAGAAATTTTCAATGCAAACACAGTGAGTCTGTAGGTTCAAAGGAGAGTTCAAAATGAGAGGCCTCCTTGTGAGAGGCACCTAGGCCTAGGCAGGACCTGCAATGTCTGCTGGTAAGAGCTGTGGCTTCAGGGAGCTGCCATGACTGCCCCCTGGAAGCCTCATTATTCTTCAAGGTTTGAGTGAGCAGCTACCCCCACTATCCAACCCTGGTGATCAGAACAGAGCCTGAGACCAGACCGTCAGCCTGTGCGGCCCATTTAACCCTGTCAAAGCTAGTTAGCTCTTCCAGCTCTGTCCCCCTTCCCACCCATCTCCCTCCTCCTACTCAAGTGCCTCAGAAGAAGTACTCACTCTATTTCCATGTTCAGAAGCTCCACCAGAGCACTGAACGTGCCCACCTCCAGGAGCAGGAATATGTTGTAGCGCATCCAGAACTGCACCTCCGCCTCTGAGCTGCACTCCCCAAAGGTGCCTGCAAACACAGGCATAGCTCACTGAGTCCCTCCCCATATCTGACTGGGCAATGCCACTGGCGGAGGTGTCAGATGCCCCTAGCAAGGTCTACTCAGTACCTTGAGCAACATACAGAATTGCTCGGGCCACCTTGAGCCTCTTCTCTCTGGCAGTGACTTCCAAGCCATCCAAGAGCCTCATGGCATGGGTACGATGCTGGTTGGTGTCCAGCTCGGTCCACTTCTTGTCTGTCACTGCAGGGTAAGAGACAGTTACACCTAGGCCCAGAAGAATCCTCACAATGAAATGGACACAGTATTAATTCACCAAATTCAGGACTGCCACAGGACCAGAAAACTCAGAAGGGCAAGTTACTTCCTGTGTAAGGGATAATGTCATATTGCTGTCCAGTGAATTTCCAGACTGGAATACTGGTATTTTTGGTGCAATTTTAATCAGGTGGAGACCTGGTGGCGCAGTGGTTAAGAGTTTGGCTGCTAACCAAAAGGTCGGCAGTTCGAATCCACCAGCCACTCCTTGGAAACCCTATGGGGCAACTCTACTCTGTCAGAATCGACTCGACGTCAACAAGTTTGGTTTTTAATCAGGTGGAGATTTTTTTCTAATAGACATATCCTGAAAAGCCACCACCAGAGTACACACAGGCCCACTCTAAATGCCACAGCTGGCCTTGCACAATCATGACTCAGCAGGTTTCCTGGGTCACTTCCGGATGGCTGAGGTCATTCAGACGACTAAGAGAAACCCTGTAGCTCTTGTGGTGTGGTATGAAAGGAAACAAGTGGGGAAATCATCTCACCATGGATCCTGAAGTCCTCCTCAAAGCACTTTCTATTCATCTGGAACTCTGGCCCTTCCGTGTAGCTGTAAAGCTCTGTCAAGAACAAAGTCTCGTCACCATCAGCTCCATGTCTACATTCCACATCCAGGTCTCATATGCAGCAGAGAAGGTAAGGCATTTGCTTCCAGTCCCAACTCTGCCCATGAATCACAGTGACTCCTAGACTACACTAACTACCTACAGAGCCTTAGGGCTCTGATGTGTGTGATGAGAGAAGACTGACTTGTACGGCAGCTGATAACCAGAATTCCAGTTAAACAGAAGTCCGGGCATTTCCAATCTGATGTGCATTCATCCCCCCATGCCATGCCAGGGGCTGACCACTACCCTGAACATGTATCTTTCAAGCGGCCACTACCTCCTGTATAAGGCCTCTACCACGGAGGCTTGAGAAACAGCTCAAGCTGGCCTCACATCACACATGTGCCACAGCATGCACTGATGCAGTCACACTTGCTGGCATCCCTTGTGACTCCCTGCTCAAGGAGACGTCACTGCCGGGGGATAGCTGTCCCACATTGGAAGTTGACTTTATAGCCAACTGAGCTGACTACACATAGATGCTTCATAAAAGTGCAGGGCAACCCAAAGTCAAGAGATACTCAAGGCTTGAACCAAACAACTACTGTATTTTTATGTAAATAATGCATAAAATGTTTGCTTGCCAACTGCACACTCCCCCTACCCCCGCAGGTATTTCCATAAGCACACTACGTTAATTTTTTCTTTTTTTTTTTACAGCTGAAAATACCTCCCAGGGAGAGGGCGAGGTTGGCAAACAAACATAGAAGGCATGCATTATTTCTGTAAAAATACAGTAATGTGTTTTATGTATCTCAGTAGCAGGACTAATTAGAGACAAAAAACACCTCGAAAATATATTAACACTCTTAATTTTCTGAAAGACCAATAAGAAAAAAAAATCTATTTCCCCCATTCTCAACCAACACAAAGTTCTGTACTTTACCAGAGAGCTCTGCAGCCCACTTGTCCATGTCTGCATACTCAAACTCGAGGTCTGGCGACTCAGAATAGCCCTGTTGAGAACAGGAGAGAGCTTTACGCAAAAGATCATTCTGAGCGTTGTTAAAAGGAAAAGACACAATGCTGTGTTACAGAACATCATTGCCTCCACTTTTCTGATGTTTTATCAAAATATTTTGTCTCCTTGGCTAGCTTACAAAACCAGGTGTCATTGATTCCGACTCATGGTGACTTCGTGTGTGTCAGAGTAAACTGCGCTCCACAGGATTTTCAGTGGCTGATTTTTCAGACACAGATTGCCAGGCCTTCCTTCTGAGATGCCTCTGTGTAGACTCGAACCTCCAACCTTTCAGCTAGTAACTCAGCACATTAACCATATGCACCATCCAGGAAACCCTCTCAGAGTATCTTACGCTTTTCCTTCAGAGCACTTTTTCAGAGTTAGAACAGTTGTTTAGTGTCTGTCTCTCCAGGAGACTGCAAGTTCCTTGAAAACAGGAACTTTGTCCATTTTGTTCATCAATGATTTCACAGTGCCCAGCACAGTACCTAGCATGAATGAGTAAATGAGTAATTTATACTTAAATAAGTGCTTGTTAGATCAATGAACACAAAGCTTCTCTGTATTTTGTGCACTGAATGACCATTCCACATGGTGCTATGATTCCGGAAGTCTCATTTCTCTCTGGCTACTGGGCTATTGACAGATCGGGACGAAGTGGGTATTGAAGCCCTTCGGCCTTCTTGCCCCTCTCCAATTTCAGTGAGAACTGACAGATGAAAAAGGCAGCAGCCGCACAGAATGGCTTCCCTCTCACACATAGAGGATAATGCAGCAAAGGGACAGATGATTATTAAGAAGACACCATCTTGGGAGCCGTACTTTCATAACCCTCTACGCTTAAAAAGCTATCAAGTACTCACCATGGCTATCCCATCACCTCACCAAGCAAGGGCTCCTGAAAGGTCAGTTTCTTTGCTTTTTCAAACAATTCACTTCAAGCTCAGGGTACCTCTACCTTGGACTTGCCAAATTTTGACATGCTTTACCAGAGATTTGGGCTTGCCAACAAAAAAACAAAAAGTCTGAGAGGAACTGATTTCACAGGTCTAAAGATAGTATCATCACTCTTTGGAACGACCTGACAGTTTTCTCATTAATAAGGAGCCTATAAAGAGCCTGACTGCTGATCAGCCTCCTCCGAGTTGTCTCAGGTGAAGGCGACCTCATAGTAAGTGCCTGGGAACATGCTGATTAAGAAGTCCTAAAACGTTGTGAAGTGTGTGTCTTCATTCATGAATTCTACAAAAGGAGGCAGTGGGAGGAATTCTTAAACTCGGGGTGAGATGAATAGTCGACCAACTCCAGACTAAAGAATTACAGTCTCTAGGACTGGAGGAACCGCCCACTAGCAACAGGGGAGGGGGGAGAGGAGCCCTAACGCATGCTGAAAATGTACATTTCTGATCTTAACAGTTCACCATCAGGAACACTGAGCACAACCACCACCAAACACTGTCACATCATGGCCTGAAGCGGCTAAAGAGAGAAACAGGGACTGTTACCCCCTCCCATTCTCGCAACCTCTGGGAGCGTAGTACTAATAGTGATAATTAGCTCTGTCCGGCTTCAAGTACCTTCTAAACACTGGCCAGGTCCCTTCCCTACCTACACACGCCGTCCACAGCGCGCTGCGGAACCACCGAGCCGGCGCCCGCGCGCCCTGGATCAGTGGCCAAGAGATGATTAGGGGATGGTGGCGGCTGCCCTGGAGTGCAAGAAGACCACTGACTCTTCACCCTCGAAGTGGGATGGGGCGGCTTCCCTAGACGATGGGTCCCCCCGGCCGCGCTCACAGCCCCGTCCCCAGAGCAGCAAACAAGCGATCACCCGGCTCCGGGCTGTTCTCCTGGGCGGCGGGGCTCGGAGAGGGGACCCCGGCTTCACGTCCCCGGCCCCGAGGGGATGCCAGCCTTGCTTCCTGCTTCTCTTGTTGTAAAATGACAGCTTCCTCGCCGGGCCCGTCGACCCCTCTCGGAAGCAGGCTTGCACCCAAGAGCGGCCCCAAGTCCAGGACCTCCACAGCCACCCGCCCGATGCCAGCCTCGCCCCCCGAGCTCCTGACCTCCGAGTCTTTGCGCTGGTTGCGGTTGAACTCTCGGGCTTTGCCCCCGGGCAGGAGGCCCCCGCCGGCCCGCGGTGCCCCAGGCGGAGGCTGCGCGGATGCGGGCGGCGGAGGTGGCGGCGGCTGGGGCTGTTTGTTGTTCAGGATCAGCTGGCTCGGGCCGCCGGCTACCGGCTCCATCTTGGCTGCTCCACACCCCCGGCTCAATTCTCGGACAGTTTCCGTGATACAATTATCGCGTGATTTCCTCCACGAACTTTCCCTGGTCGCCATATTAAGTGTGGCAGCAAGTGCTGGACGCCATCTTGGCTGCCCAACACCTCGCGACATTCCCTTTGCCTGAAATGTTCGTTTCTTTCTCTGCCTTTTTCGCTTACACGTCTTCTTTCCAGTCCTAGTTTAAATGTTATTTTTATCTGTGAGGTTTCCCCTTAGCTCCTTCGATTAGTTTAGTTGCCCCCTCCTTCCCTCTAACTTCGGTTTGCACTTGTCTCTGTTATAGCCCTCTTCAAGGCTATGGGAATACAGCAGTGAACAAGATGGACGAAGTCCGAGTCTTCTTGGAGTGTACATTTACATGGGGAGAGACATAACGCTAAACAAATAGATGAATAAATAAGGCAATTACAGTTGTGAGAAGTACTAATTAGTCATTCAACAAACATTTAATGAATACTTCCTGTGCTCCAGGCTGAGGGATAGAATGGGGAACAAGTCAAATTTCTGCATGGGTACATATATAGAGCCTAGCAGGAGAGACAAGCAAATAAATACAACATTAGAGGAATAAGTACTCTGAACAAAAAAAAAGGTGTAAAGGATTAGAAGGTGAATGGTGGCTGGAGACAGGAAGGGGAGATGTGGCTATTTTAGGTAGGCAGGCCAGGGTAGACAGGCACGAGGAGATAGTTTTAATGAGTTTTGAAAGAAGAGAGCCATGTGAAGATCCATGGAGGTAACACTGGCAGAAGGACCAGCTAAGTGCCGGGGCCCTGAGGTCATTGTGGCTGGAACTGAGTGAACCAGGGAAAAAGTGGAAGGAGATGAGGGTCAGATAATGCACAGCCTTGAAAGTCATGGAAAGGAGTTTGGATTTTATTCTGAGTGAAATGGAAAACTGATCAGAGGGTGTCAACCAGTGTGGTGTCATGATCTGGTGTTTGAAAGACCATTCTGGTTGCTCTTGGAGAAGGGATTGGAGAGTTGCAAGAGTAGATGAAGGTGGACAGGTCAGGGGGCTATTTTAATGGAGATAATGGTGGCTTGGACTAGGGCTGATATATTTCTATACTGCGTAGGTAGAAGTGACAAAATTTGCTGGTAAGCTGCAATGTGGAAGATAAGGCATAGGGGGATTAAAGGATGAGTCCTAGATTTTTGGTTTGATCAACTGGGTGGATAGTTGCCCCAGTTATTAAAATAGGGAACCCTTACAGAAAGAAGAACAGGTTTAGGAGGAAGATCAAGATTTCTGTTTTGGACATGTTAAGTTTGGGATGCCTGTTAGACATCTAGCAGGTGATACGTAATAATACCTGTTACTATGTTGTGACATGCTTGAAGCCACTTATCCCTTTTTGTCACTCCAGGACCAAAGCTCATTGTCCCACCTAAACCAAAACCAAACCAGTTGCCATCGAGTCGATTCCAACTCATAGCCACCCTATAGGACAGTGTGGAACTGCCCCATAGGGTTTCCAAGGAGCAGCTGGTGGATTTGAACTGCTGACCTTTTGTTTAGCAGCCTGAGCTCTTAACCACTGCAGCACCATTGTCCCACCTAGTAGGTGCTTAAAAAGCCTGTTGTAAATTAATTAATAAATCCAAAGCCACTATGTTGCTCTTTTCTATCTTCCTATCCTTTGCCCCTGTACCCACTCATATCCAGTAATACCATTTCTAAATTAGTATTTCATCCAAGCTGGGCTGAGCCAACCTTATAGGAAAAACTTAGGAATTTACAGGAAAAGGACAAACATTGAGAGCCTTCTTAGATAAAATCAGCAAATCTCACACAACCCAACATGCAAACTGACATCTAGTTTCAGTGGACACAGCTTGGTCAAGTACTAAGACTGACTTACCATAAACTCTTATCACCTGGGAAATTATTTTTCAGACCTTCCAATACCCTATACCATTTCAACTATATTCAGAAAAGGGAAGGTTTTGGTTCAGTAATTCCACTTCCAAGAATAGATCCTAAGAAAATAATCAGATATTTAGACAAAGATATATGTATGATGATGTTCCCAGCAGTGATATTTTCAATAGTGAAAAGTTAGGACTAACCAAATTTGTGAAATAGCCAGTAA